CCCTCCAATTCCCATTCTCATAGAAGGGGAGCAACATTTTGAGGTTAAGGAAATCTTGGACTCTAGAAAACACCATGGTAAAGTCCAATATCTGATTGCCTGGAAACATTTTCCACTATCTCAGGCTGAATGGGTAAATAAACGGGATGTCCGAGCTCCCAAGAAAGTACAACAATTCTATACCAAATACCCTGATAAACCCTAATCATTGTATATATTCTGTTTTTCTCTCTCTTCTTTCCTTTTATTTAGGACTAACGTCTCTTCTGCAAGGGGGGCCGAATGTCAGCCTCAGCTTGCCTGCTTCAGCTGCCATAAGAAACGGGGAGGGATTAGGTATGGAGCAAAGGGGGGGAAGGGAGCAGGAGGGGGTTTGTCTTTGTAGGAGGGGACTTCGTGGGAATCGAAACTGTATTTTCAAAAGGGGACGGCTGACCAACTGTCTCGACATTCCTGATGGATGACGCTGCCAGACATGTTGCCACCTGACCTTTGGAAGACCTTTGGGTTGGCTGAGGATTTATAAACACGAGGGGGGGAAGAAGCTTAGTAGATGCATTTCGCGCGTTTTGCTCACTTCCAGCTTAACTGGGTTGTTAATCATTTCTTATTCAGTAAAAGTACCAAATTCTTCAAAATGCTTGACTTTGGGGTTTTCTTTCCTGGATACTGAAGGAAGCATACCTGACAAATACAGCACTAGGAGACATAAAAATTCATAATTGTTGCTAAAATGTAATTGACTCATTTTAAAAATTAATTATATACTGATTAAATTGTGGTTGCGCTGAGGTTAACTAATATTTTAAAATTAAGCATTACATTGTCCTGATGTGCTGTGGCTTATACTGTGTTGTGATTTTATTGTTTTTCTTTATTGTGCTTAACTATAACCACATACCACAACTCTGGCTTAGTGTATAAAATTTGGTAGCTTATTTACTGGTGCCTGAATACCATTTCACTCCATTATTGAATATGACTACTAGACAGAGTTTTATTCAGGGGTGAAATGCTCCTTCGGACCGGCTCGGGTGAGTAGTTAGTGATGATGGCCGGTGGTTCGGAGAACCGGTAGCAATGGAAGCTGGAGGCTCCGCCCACCCGCCCCATTCCCCGGAGTCGGGGAATGCACCATTCCCCAACTCCTACTGCCCACCTTTCTCCTGCGGCTGGCTGTCAGGGAAGGCAAGTGCCCGAAAGGTACTGGAGTCGCTCACTCTCCTTCTTGAATGAGCCGCTCTGGTCCACGCGCCGGCTGCGCAAGTGCACACTGTTTATTTAATTCAGCGGCAGGTTAGATTTGCGCTTGCGCAGCTGGTGCATGGACCAGAGCGGTTCATTCAAGAAGGAGAGTGAGCGACTCCAGTACCTTTTGGGTGCTTGCCTTCCCTGACAGCCAACTGCGAGAGAAAGGTGGGCAGTAGGAGTCGGGGAATGCACCATTCCCCGACTCTGGGGAATGGGGCGGGTGGGCGGAGCCGCGCGGCAAAGGGTGGCTCCACGGCAAGGCCGGTGTCGGGGAATGATGCATTCCCCGACTTCTACTGCTCACCTTTCTCCCGCGGCTGACTGTCAGGGAAGGCAAGCGCCCGAAAGGTACCGGAGTCGCTCACTCTTCTTCTTGAATGATCCGCTCTGGTCCACGCGCTGGCTGCACAAGCGCATACCCAACCTGCCACTGATGAGTGACTTAAATAAACAGTGTGCGTTTGTGCAGCCGGCGCACAGACCAGAGCAGCTCATTCAAGAAGGAGACTGAGCGACTCCGGTACCTTTCGGGCATTTGCCTTCCCTGACAGCCAGCTGCGGGAGAAAGGTGGGCAGTAGGAGTTGGGGAATGGGGCAGGTGGGCGGAGCCGCGGGAGAAAGGTAAGGACCCGCCGGCAGAATAGAAATTTAAAAAGTTTTCCTACTGGGTTCTGTGGGCGTGGCTTGGTGGGAGGGGGTCTTGTGACTGAGTGGGCATGGCTGTGAGTGACTTTGAGTTGGACACCCACCACCAAGCCACGCCCACAAAACCGGTAGGGAAAAATTTTAGATTTCACCCCTGGTTTTATTACTAAAAATGTCAACTAACACATTCAGAGACTTAAACTATATGGTACATTTAAATTAAGTTGTGAGTGATGTAATCTGATAAAACTGTGGCAGTATTAGCTTTTTCGTAGAATGATAGTCTTTAAAATCTTAAATATGTATTAGATCACAAATATACTTGATGTAATAAAAATACACAATCTTGTCAGGCTATTATTTATTATTAGGCATTATTAAGGATATATATATATATCATATATATATATATATATATATATGTTCTGTGGTTCTCAAAGTTTTTAATTTTCAGTATTGCCAAAATGTCCAAATTAAAAAAAAAATATTTTTCTGAAAAAGCCAAAGACTATAATTATAAGAGTATAGTTTAATGTTTCATACCACATAGTTATGTCATTATCCCACCTTGTTATATTTGGTAAAATCAAGGGGATGAACATACCTGGAATCCCTGCTTTCTGCTTTTCCTCAACAGTTATCCCTATGAGGTAGGTTGGGCTGAAAAGAAGTGTCTGGCCCAAAGTTACTCAAATGGTTTTTAGGCGTAAGCCTAGAAGTCAGACTCCTGGTCTCTGGTGCTAGAACTTAAAGTGGCTTACTTCAATTTTGTAACTTTTATAAGTTGTTTTCATTTCATTTTATACATTAAAGCAGGATAAATAAATAAAGCAGGCCAACTTTCAGAACAATTGCTATAGTAAAGATTACAAGATTTTTGGACATTTGTTTCCCTAGAGAAAAATTATTGGAGAGAACCTGGCTTTATGATGAGATGACTTAACTGTTTTGCTCATCAAGCCCTATAATTCCATAATGGCTGCTGAGATTCATATGCCAAAGTATGACATGAAATGTGTGTGTGTGTGTGTGTGTATACATACATACATACATACATACATACATACATACATACATACATACATACATACATATATATATATATATATATATACATACATACATACATACATACATACATACATACATACATACATACATTCTTTTGTATATATAGGAATTCAAATAGAAAATTAAATGCTCTGGAAGTTAGTATTCAAGGTATGCCTCATGAGGTATACTCAAGATCTTAATGTCATTCCAATTAGATAGTTGAAATTTAGACTTCCTAACTTGGCATTTTCTGGGGTTATTGAGAATAAAAACCTTATTATCCCTATCTAGCATGGCAAGATAAGGAACTGAGCCAGGGTACATGCTTTTTACAGAGGTATTTTCCATCCTAGTACCTTTGTGCATTAAATTCTAAAGCAGGAGCGTCAATGTTTAAAGAGACGTGGACTGCAATTCAACCTCCTCATCTTTAAAAAGCCACGTAAGACCAGCTAGAAATGTAGTAGTGTCACAGGAGAAGGTGTGGCCAATATTTGGTCAGCCTTACAAAATCTTGGATGATTTAGAGGTAAATAAACGATTCAGAAGGTTTTCCTTTAAAAAAATCCTCCTGTTTGAATTATGTTAGTGAAATGCAATCATTTTCCTTTTAAATTGCAACTGCAATCAGTTCCAGGTGTTAATTATCCATATTTTAGCCACGTTGCCCATTTTAAAGTCCTATATTCTTGTTGACTTGCAATACTAATAGTTTTAAATTGTAATATGGACCTGAATTAGCAAAGCCCCTATCATATCTATATACTTGATTGTATTAGAGATTTCTTTTTCATTAGTGGAAAGATTTGAAATGACATGATACATTTGTTTAGAAAACATTAACCTACGTAAGGTAGAGAAATGTATAAGTATGTTAACTGAAGCATTTAAATCTCTTTCAGGCATTGCACACAGTTAGCTTACTTTGTGCAGACTTTGTGGGCAGATCTTGCACGCACCCCACTTCAGCTGCCAACTATAAGATACTTTTCAGGGTTGAATCTTTCTTCTATCTCACATTCATTTTCCTTTAAAGCACAGTATACATAATTTGTATACTGAATATATAAGAGCATAAATTGATTATAAACAAATCATCCTAAATAATGAATTTATACAGATCAAATGTGGAATATTACCTGTTCTTGATATAAATACTGTTAGAGAAAAGAAATTTATGAACTTTGCTAAATGCAATGTTGCATATTGAGTATCTTAAATAATTACATCTTTCATTCATCTAATTTGGTTTGCCTGCTGTCTTTTCTGTTTTACTTATTTTTGAAGATATTGATTAGAATTTGTTAACAAGAATGATGGTCTATTAAACAAGACTTTGGACTACTCACATTATATAGATTTGGTCATGACATTAAACAACTTCAGTATGTTGTCCCATAAATTACCTAGTGCCTTTTTTCTATTTGTGATTTTTAAATTATACACACAGGTTATTTATGTACTATTCTACTTAATTTGATGTGGGCAAAATTATATGCTTTGTAAAAGACAGCAGAACCAAATAACCACTGCTGATTGTGATTAATTTTAGATTACTATCCAAGCTTTATGTAACATTTTGATCTTGTTTAAATAATATTTTGCTATTATTCTGTAATATTTTTGATAGCTTCCACTTTTTATATATTAACAAAAATATGAAGTATTTTTAATGAAAAAGCTTTTTAATAGCAGTAAAATAATAAAATATATCCTTAGTTATCTGCCCTTGGAACATTCATATTCCATTATTCTAATTGCTGTATGCTGTATAAGATTATCTTTTGGCAATATTTAATAGCCTTTGTTGCATTTGATACATTGCCTAGTCACTATTTTTGTAAAAATAATCTCTTATTTTTCCCTTTTTATGCTTCACCTTTGTTGCAATAGTCATTATAATATATATTTATAGTTATGCACGCTCACATTATAAAGTCTTCTAATAATAAAGAACCAATTCATGAAATGTTTCTTTTTATTTAATTGTCTCCTCTGCCCATCCACTAGATTGTTTGACACACTGTTTTTTCTGTCCTGCTCCCTTGCAGGGAAATTGTGTCAACCTCACAGAAGCCTTGTCTCTCTATGAAGAACAGCTTGGCAGATTATATTGTCCTGTGGAATTCTCAAAAGAAGTTGTATGTGTCCCCTCATACATGGAGCTGTATCCTTCAATAAGAAACCATGTTTATTAACAATCCTATTTCAGTTGGTGCTAAATCATAGCTGCCTTAACCAGAATGACACATTAAGCCTAAATTATATTATTGCTTAACACAGTGTACTGTCTTAATATAAGAAATTCTTGGGTTAGAACTCATAATCCTGCAAATATACAAATATTTGTACACACTAACATTCTGTTACAATGTTTTAATACAAGTTTTCCTGATGCTTCAGCAATCATAATTTTAATGTCTTAATGAATCATCAAAGAATTTCTGCTTAGCAGTATAATCATTTTTTAAAAAAAAATTATATCTGAGATGTAAAGGATGTAACATGCTAAAATGAGTTTCTTGTTTTATTTTGGAAGTAATGAAGAATTATTTTGAAATGATATTTTCTTATACATGTTGGGAAACTAAGCTTGTGAGAAAACAAAATATTGGATTCCTTGACTATTTTTTAGATGGGTATTTTATACTGTTTGGAAGAAGACTGATATTTGAAGCTGAAAGACTGCGCCACACATGCTGCATGAAATGTGTAGGCTTGCCACATGCTTTGTCTTGGCGTCTTGACTCTAAATTATATGCTGTAGATTATTTTGAAACTTAGTCATACTATCAATTGATAATTCTTTAAATGGTTTTTATTATTTTAATTTAAAAGCAAATGCACAATGTATATTTTGATGAACTAGTATGTTATTTTTGAAAGTCAACTTAGCTGAATTAGCAGCAAAATTATAGCTGCTGAATGCACTGAACCTTTAGAATGTGATCATTTTATTATGTTTATTTTAGAACTTTGAACACCGGTTTTAAAAGTCAATATTAGAATTTAGTGTGATACTGTAGATTTTTTTTTCTTCAACATTCATCAGTTTAATAATCATGGTGTGACTTGTGCATTTGTTGTCAAATGATCACTTTGCATCCCTGAAAGAAATTAAGAGTAGATGTTATTTTTTTAATAATACTTTCTAACTCACTGCGATTTTTACAACTTTTTCATGGTGAATAAAATTTCACCATGAAAAAGTGACACAAAAGCACTATCATAATTTAACATCATGGTAGTGTTAAAATCTACCGTGTTTTTCACACTATAAGACGCACCGGACCATAAGACGCACATTAGCTTTGGGAGGGGGGGGGAGGAATCTGCCTCTGCCTCCCAGCATCCATCCAGTATTTATCTGGCTAGCGTCCTTGTAGCAAACAGCCTGATCAGCTTTAGCATGCTATCGTAGCCCAGCACATGGCTCATGAGAGCTCCACTCCTTTGTGCCCACCACTGGTCAACTGAGCTGAGCTGCTGCCACCGCCAGGGAACACTGGAGCCTTTGCTGCTGAGCAGCTGATTGGCGGTTGGATCGGCCTCCCGGAATACCGCCAATCAGCTGTTCTAGGTGGCAAACGGTGATAGACCGAGCTGGCAATCCCTGCCACCTAGAACAGCTGATCGGTGGTATTCCGGGAGGCCGATCCAACCGCAAATCAACTGCTTGGCAACAAAGGCTCCAGCATTCCCCGGCGGCAGCAAATGGCAGCAGCAATGACAGGCGGTGACAGTTGGCACCAACCCCCCCTCCCCCCACCACAATATTCACTCTATATTGCGAATGCTGCACAGACTGATGCTCAGACATTTCCACCCACTTATGGGGGGAAATAATGTGTCTTATAGTGCGAAGAATATGTTATGTTTTTGCTGCATAAGAATTAGCATGAAAGTACTTGACCCTGGTTATAGAAGGAATGAACTGTTTAGTTTATTTTTTCATCATCTGTTTAATCTGATATAAATCATTATCTTTCCACTTGCAAAGAGATTTACGAGCCAATTAATAATGGTATAGTGTTGTACCATTATTGGTACACCATTATTGTACACCACCCAGAGTCGCTTGTTGTGAGATGGGTGACCACATAAATGTGATTGATTGAAAAAATAAATGAATATAGTGTCAAAGAATTAACTAGAATGTAGTTTGAAATGTCAATCAAAATCAGTCTGCGTATTTATTGTAAGTAGGGTAGAATAGTAGATCAAACAACTGTTAAAACTATGGGGTGGACTATTTTTCCAAATTAAATATGAACAGTTGAAATATATGTAAGAGTTCTTAGTGCTTACATGCTCTTTTAGCTTTGATACTAATATTCCTAGAGAGAGAAATATACATTAAAAATAGACACTATGCTAGAAATTCGCAGTAAGGACCTGCCCCAGCTGGTCCCTCAGGAAAGCAAGACTCTTAAATCCATTAAATTGAATCGAAAGAACTTTTACTGAGAGAAAGTGATTGCAAGAAAGCAAGGTAGAATCTGAAAAGTCCCACACAAAGCAATTCTTTGGTTTCCCCAAGCCCAACCCCTGCTAACCAGTCCACCGGTATCCAGTGTGATGCCACACGATTGTTTTGAGAAAGCTGAGATACTAGGCCGATAACAGTTCACCCTCAGGGCATGGCAGCCTTGAAACCAGGCTGGAACCTGCTGGGAGAGAGTCCAGACAACGACCCTCCCTAATTCCCAAGCAGTACAGCAAAAGCAAAAGCATAAGCATGTGAAAATGCCAGCAAGCCTCCTTTCCCCTCCTCCCTTCCAACAGAATGGCAGGACACGATGGTGGACCTGATACTCACCCTTTAACCAGTTTTATCTATGATAAATGGGAGATTAGTTTGTACAGCACAAGGCACGTCCCATTTCATTCAGTGTGGTCTAGACCTAAAACATTTCTGGTGTACCATGTTGATCTGAGACATTTAGGAATCTTGTATTTATATTTTGTGCCAGTTGAGCCCAACCATATGGATGGGATAAATCTTATTGGTCTTAAGCCATCAATTAGCACATATGCTATTTGAATATGCATGTGGAAGCCTATTAGATTATTGGATCAATGTCTCCCGGTATGCTTCTGCACATGGTGTGAAATTATATTTTTGTAAAATCTGTGTGTACTGATTTTTTGTTTGCTCATTGTGTTGCTATAAACAGATCCTGAAAATAGTTGAGATATAGTTCTTATTGTAATGTTGATGCAATAAGAAAGCAAGAGAGAATTAAAATGTATCATTCCTTTTTTTTTCAATCTTAAAAATCATTCAATAAAATTATTTTCTTGTTAATTAAAGAAGTTTGTTTGTAGACTGGCTCCCAAAATAAGTGTGAAGACACTCTTCCCTCCATTTCTAATGAAAGACCAATACACTAGATCAGTGAGAGTTGCCCCGGGTTCGGACCGGTTCTATAGAACCAGTAGTAAAACCAGCGGGAGGCTCCGCTCACTGACCCTGACATCATCAGAAGCAATCTGCACGTGCACAGAAGCAAGGCACGTGCGCAAGCGATCCCATTGCGAACCAATAGTAAAGGTAAGTAGAACCCACCCCTGCACTACATGGAGAAATTCAGAAATAATTTCCTGATGTAGTTAAGAGAAGATAGTCTATTATAATCCTGACCTTATAATTCAGGCACTGAATTATAAACACTGGAATTTACCATCTTGAAGTTCTCATATACTAATAAACTAGATATATAAAGCAAGTTGTATTACAATTCCTGAATTATGTGTTGAATGAAGCCACTTAAACTATGATAAAGAGCAAACTTTCAATTAATCATTTTGATGAATGAAAAGCTATCATTTTCATTTTTCTGAAGATCAGTTGGCATTCTTAATTTCTTTTTTAAATTGGTGATAAAATGTAGCTGGTGTCAGGGTATCCAACTGATACCCTAATTAAATCATGAGCCTCAAGCCAATCTTCAAAAGAAATCCAGTTATTTATTAGGAGCTTCATGTCGGCATGTTCTAAGTGAAGCCAACTCTGATCTCACTTAATTCACACCCCGGCTCTGACCCTGTTCCCCCTCCCCCCGAGATGTGTCATCAGTCACATTTCCCAACAATTTCAAGGGTTGTAGAAGTCCCTCCCTCTGGCCACTGTGGGTCACCATGGAGATGGCCTTGACAGCTGGGAGATCTGTAACAAGTAAGCAGAACATTTTAGATACCTAGGTTTTCATTGAATTGTAAGATACATATATTTAAATATGCTTAATTATAGTGTTTTTTGAAATACCCTCATGTCTTGATTTGAAATTTATTCATTTATTTGTTAAATGTATTTGCCACCTATCTTGCCCGGGCGGGGGGGAGGGGCAACCCTAGGCAAAAGTCATACAACGCTTATAATGAACCTAGAGCTACCTTTTAAAAATACATAGAACTAATTTCTTACATTTTCCTAAAAAGAGAGGAAACAATTTTGATTCATTCATACATAGGTTATGGAATGTTTCCAGCAGTTTCACTCACACATAATGTAATGTTTCAGGATTTTATTTCAAAACTGAAATCAACATGAGTTCTCATTTTAAAGTATTCCCTTCTTGCCCTAATTTTTAGTTCTTCTTATATTGGAGTAGAATGTACTGGACATGTTGGGAGAAATAGTTCAAAGAATGTTTTATGGAAGTCCCTCCTCAAGAAGCCCTCTCTGGACCCGGCTGTTTTGGCAAACTACCGTCCAGTCTCCAACCTTCGCTTTGTGGCGAAGGTTGTTGAGAGTGTGGTGGCGCGACAGCTCCCGCAGTACCTGGATGAAACTGTCTTATCTAGATCCGTTCCAGTCCAGCTTCAGGCCTGGGTACAGCACGGAAACGGCATTGGTCGCATTGGTTGATCTCTGGAGGGCTCGGGACAGGGGTTGCTCCTCTGTTCTGGTCCTATTAGACCTCTCAGCAGCTTTTGATACCATCGACCATGGTATCATGCTGCGCCGGCTGGAGGGGTTGGGAGTGGGAGGCACCGTGTTACGGTGGTTCTCCTCCTATCTCTCCGACCGGTCGCAGTCTGCCGCGTGGGTGATTGTGGGGACGACATGGCGCTCCTATGTAACACCTCTCCTGCGCAAGCTGCACTGGCTCCCGGTGGTGTTCCAGGTGCGCTTCAAGGTATTGGTTCTCACCTTTAAAGCGCTCCACGGCTTAGGGCCCAGGTATCTACAAGACCACCTTCTGCCACCGATAACCTCCCATCGGCCAATACACTCCCACAGAGAGGGTCTCCTCAGGGTGCCGTCGGTCAAGTAATGTCGACTGGCGGCCCCCAGGGGGAGAGCCTTCTCTGTGGGGGCACCCGCCCTCTGGAACGAGCTACCCCCAGGGATACGACTGATCCCGGACCTCCGTACTTTCCGCCGGGCCCTGAAGACTTTTCTATTTCAGCAAGCCAGGCTGGCTTAAAACTTTTAACAGGTTAATTTTATGGGTAAGGGGTTTTTTAATTGGGGAAGCCAAATTAATTTAATCATGTTTTAAATTATTTTAATTTTCATATTGTATGTATTTTAATCTTGGCTGTTCACCATCCGCACGCTTCATGCAGAAAAGGCATTTGAAGGTAAGCAGAACAGTGAGGGGGTGGGAACAGCTGTGCCGTGCGATTTAGATTCGCTAGAAAGCAGAATTTCCTGCTTTCTAGCGAATGTAAATCGCACGGCACAGCTGATCATCAGAAATATCAGTTCGGACCAACCAGTAGCTTTTTTTTTCTACCGGTTTTATTACTACCGATTCACCCGAACCGGTGCAAATTGTTAGGATTTCACCACTGGTATAAACATAATATACATTTTCAGGCGGTTCCAGGTGGCCGATCCCCGCTGCCTGGAACCGCCCGAAAACATGACGCACAGAGGCCAAAAATGGGGTGTGCGGAGGCCGAAAACGCAACGCATAGAGGCAGCAATTGGCGGCAATGTGCTGTGGCGATCCCTGCAGCCTGGAACTGATCTAAAATGGAGCATTTGGAGGCCAAAAATGCGAGGCACAAAGGCATTGTGCCTCGCATTTTTGGCAGCCATGGTCTGTGGCAATCCCTGCAGCCTGGAACAGTTAATTGGGGGTATTCTGGGAGGCCGATCCACCCGCCAATCAGCTGCTTGTGCTGAATCAGGCTGCGATAATGTGCTGAAGCTGACCAGGCTGTTTGCTATTTGCTGCAAGGACACTAGCCAGATGAATACCGATGGATGCTGGTAGGCAGAGGCAGAATTTTTTGTTGTTGTTTTCCTCCCCAAAAACTAATGTCTTATTTATTTATTTATTTATTTATTTATTTATTTATTAATGAGATTTATATGCCGCCCTATCTCCAGCCAGACTCAGGGCGGCCCACAACAGTTAAGAAACATCTAATAAAAAGTTAAAAAATTAAATCCAAATCTCATAATTTAACAGTTAAAAGTACAATTAAGACTAACAAGTTAAAATTAAATTAGAATTAAAACCCCATCAGTCCAGGCCGGCCAAACGAAACAGCCATGTTTTCAGGTCTCGGCGGAAAGAGCGGAGGTCGGGGGTCACCCGGAGCTCCAGGGGCAATTGATTCCAAAGGGTAGGTGTGCCCACAGAAAAAGCCCTCCCCCAGGGGGTCGCCAGCCGACATTGTCTGGCCGACAGCACCCTGAGGAGGCCCTCTCTGTGGGAACGCACCGGGCGATGGGAAGCTGTTGCTGGCTGCAGATGGTCCCCCAAATATCCCAGGCCTAAGCCATGTAGGGCCTTATAGGTAATCACCAGCACCTTGAATCTCACTCGGAGGGCAACCGGCAACCAATGCAAGTCGCGTAGGAGAGGTGTAACATGGGAGTGTCAGGATATTCCCATCACAACCCGTGCGGCCGCATTCTGCACCAGCTGAAGTCTCCGAGTGGTCTTCAAGGGCAGCCCCATGTAGAGGGCATTGCAGTAGTCAATATGGGAGGTGACAAGCACATGAGTAACTGTGCGTAGGGCATCTAGGTCCAAATATGGGCGCAACTGGCGCACCAGGCGAACCTGAGCGAATGCCTCCCTGGTTACGGCTATTACATGATCTTCCAAGTTTAGCCACGAGTCCAGGAGGACACCCAAGTTGTGCGCCTGTCTACAGGGGGCAACACCTCATCCCCTATGACCAAAGATGGAATCTCTTGATCGGACCGAGACACCGGTACCCACAGCCACTCGGTCTTAGCAGGGTTGAGCCGAAGCCTGTTCCTCCCCATCCAGATCCGCACCGATTCCAGGCACTGGGACATCATGTCGAGGGCATCGCTGGGTTGGTTTGGGGTGGATATAAAAAGCTGGGTATCATCAGCATACTGTTGATACCTCACTCCAAAATGCTGGATGATCTCACCCAGTGGCTTCATATAGATGTTGAACAAAAGAGGAGAGAGGACCGACCCCTGGGGCACCCCACAAATGAGGGGCCTCGGGGCTGACCTCTGTCCCCCGGCCAACACCACATGCGAACGTTCCGAGAGGTAGGAGGAGAACCACTGTAAAACAGTGCCTCCCATTCCCAATCCCTCGAGGCGTCACGGCAAGATACCATGGTATCGAAAGCCGCCGAGAGATCTAATAGGACCAGGACCGAGGAGTAACCTCTGTCCCGGGCCCTCTAGAAATCATCCACCAGCGCGACCAATGCCGTCTCCGTACTGTACCCGGGCCTGAAACCCGACTGGTATGGATCCAGGTACTCCGCTTCATCTAGGGCCAACGGGAGTTGACGTGCCACCACGCTCTCAACAACCTTCGCAACAAAGCGAAGGTTGGAGACAGGACGAAAGTTGTTTAAAATAGCTGGGTCCAAAGCAGGTTTCTTGAGGAGGGGCCTCACCACCACCTCTTTCAAGGTGGTAGGGAAGCTTCCCTCACCCAAGGATGCATTAATCACTGCCTGGATCCAGCTTCGTGTAACCTCCCGAGTTGAATAAACGAGCCAGGAGAGACACGGGTCCAATAAACACGTGGCAGCACTCAGCTTATCCATGATCCTCTCCACTTCTTCCGGAGTAACAGGGTTGAACTCCTCCCAGATAACACGATCGGTCGTCTCCGCCCACCCCCGTCCGACCCTGCCCAGTCAGAGTCCAGACCGGCCCGGATCTGAGCGATCTTGTCCAACAGATGTTGACTAAACTCCTCGGCCCGGCCCCACAGAGGGTCATCCCCTGCTTCCCGACTCAAGAGGGAATGGGACAGAAACGGCATTGGTCGCGTTGGTGGATGATCTCTGGAGGGCTCGGAACAGGGGTTGCTCCTCTGTCCTAGTCCTATTAGATCTCTCAGCGGCTT